TAATGTACGTTAGAGGCGCTGAGGATTCTTGCAATAAAACTGCTTAACTAGATTACTAGTTTTTAAAGATGACCCGGGAAGCTTTTTTATTAATCTCCCAATAGACTAATGAGCCACCAACTACATTTGGGGAACATTGATATAGATGAGAATGAAGGAGGCAGGTTTTAAGCAGGGGACTGATTATGTTCCAGGACAAACCCTTCCACAAGGGCCAGGCTTTCCTCTGCTAGTGTTTGCCATTTTATGAAATCCTATCATTTTCCACCTGCCGTGGTTAGGCATGTCTCGCTAGGCACCCGTGTCTCATGTGGCCGAGTTCAGAGGCGGGGCTTTGGGCGAGTGACTGATTTGGATAGCTGTCAGCTCACGAGTGGATTCATCAAGTGACAAGGTCATCACTTGGCAGGCTCCTGGGAGTGACAGAAACACAGTGGGACCTAGGTTAAACAGATCGGGTCATTGGGGATTGTCCCCTTGAAAGCAATATATTTTCTTCCTGCTCCTTCCCCCTCTCTCTGCTTCCTAGTCACCAGGAGGTGAGTGGCTCTGCTCCACTGCCCTTCTCCCAAGGTGTTCTGCCTCACCTCAAGCTCAGAGTGATGCAGCCAACCATCCATGGTCCAAAACCTTTGAAATGACGAGCAAAAGTCTTTCCTCCTTTAAGTTAATTTTATCACAGCAATGGAAAGCTGACTTAACACACCATCCACATGCTCAAGCCAGAAAAACAGGCACCAGAATCTGTGCTAGGGAGAGCCTTTATAAAGAGTATGTAGTACAAGCATGGCCCAAACAGTACTTCAAACACTGCACAGGACAGTATGAAAAGCAAACGCTTCCTCCCACTCTATTTACCTCTATCACAACAGCTATATACCTCCAGATGCCCTAACCAGGATTATTGGTTCTGCTTTATTATTTAGTTCCTGTGGCAAGTCTAAATCACATGCCCACGGGCCTACTCCTTGGATTTAAAAATCTAGCAGTGTTCTTTTTGAAGGCATTCACTCTCACATTTCTTTCAGCTTGGCCGTCTTTCAGCCCCAATCTCACCCAGATGGATCAATCCCACTTTCAAACGACTGCACCTCAATCTCTGCACTGCGCTGCTCTCCCTTGTGGGTCCTCCTGGCTGCACTCTCCCACTCTCAAGCCTTTACCCCAGGTACATTCTCCATATTGATTTCATACACACTTCCTTAAAATACAAATTGGGGCCCTTGGGCTCAAGTCTTCCCTGGCCTCCCACCAGAACAGCACTCAAAACCCTCTGACGACTACACAGTTTTGCACCATGGGACCCGGTGTCCATCACCTTAAACTGGTGCTCCTTCATAGTATCAGTCAACATCTTTCTTTGTCAAAGCTCCCTTCCTAAATCACCAAATCTGAGTCGGTATCCTGGTTTTTGTCATAATACTGTTTCTCCCCATGCTACTACCTGCAATTTGTTATTTTATGCTTAGTTTGTAAAGATCTGTAAATTCCAGAAAAGGTAGGGCTCACATCTGCTGTCTTCAATACTAAACTGTGGAAAAATTGCCACAGTGTTTGGGCAGACAGCGAGGCTAACATGTAGCACATGAACAAAGCCGGCCAGGGGGAATTTCTCAGTTTCAGCTCTGCCTTCTTCTTACAAGCAACTGCAGTTCCCTGAGGGTTGTCCTTTTCCATTGCCACTTGTTTTATTCTTTTTCTGGGAACTCACTGGACTTATTTCTGGTGTTGCTCACTGGGGGCCTAATCTTCCACTGCCTTGAAATAACTTACTTGCTATGGTTAGTTAATATCATATATGTTCATATTTTCCATCAGCAATGATGTCACAAGTGTGTTCAGTTCAGGACCTACTGCTTCCCATCCGAGAGTGCATGGCATGGCATGAAAGAACGGTCTTCCCCGGCCCCACTTAGTGTGCCATTAGAAGACTTTGATTCTGGAGTTTGGTCCATTTCCTTTCACTCTGTTTTCCTCCTCAGAGGTTCTGAGTGTGCTACCACCGTGCTGGGCGGAACAGCGGGCTAGAGATGTGTCTGCCATCAGAGAGAGCGAGTGGCTCAAGTAGAGACTTAAAACGCCGCACTGAGCAGGTGAAGGCAACCCGGCAAGGGACACAGCGGAGCTCACACTGGTTAGGCATCTCCCTGAACATTAGAAAGGGTGACTTGATCAAGATTTTAAGCATAGAGATTTCTAAAATGAAATGAAGCAAAGAAGACTACCTCCTGAAGAAAATTTCAATCACTGACCTACTTTCTCATCGTTCAACTTGCGGATGAGTTAGACCCAAACAGTAACTGTGGAAGCGTCTTTGGTATCCAAGGAGTTATTCTTTACTCTTGGTTGCCAATTCTGAGCCTGTCCACATATATTTAAGAAATATGTAAAATACTGAACGCGACTACTCAGCTACTTCTTATTTTCTGTCTGCTGAGATATAAGGGCTATGAAGATTCTACAGCCCCACCGAGGTGCATAACCAACCTTCCTCAAGCTGCTTCTGAAACACACAGGAGGGTAGAAAAGTCAAGCCTGGCATGACAGAATTGTGTACATAGAAACTGTTCAAGGTCAGTAGCCTTTTATTTACAGTTGCTACCTCTTTTTTATCACTACTATCTCTGGAAATGATGCAACCACCTTTAAAATAAATAGAATAGAACATATGGTCTGTTGTCTTTATTTGTCAGTGTGGAAACTGAGCCGAAAAGAAACTGAGAGACCTGTCCACCGGCACCAGACTTCGCAACTCCAGTCCAAGTTTGGGGTGGGGATTTGGCCTTCAAGGTGGGAAGATTGAGGCAACACTTTTACCAGACAAATTGTACAATGGGTTTTGTCAGTGAAGGGTCAAGACAGAACTTGCCCTGCCTAGTGCAAAATGAAACCTGAGCCCTTTGTTTGAAAAATCACTAGGACAATAGACAGTGACAGCAGAACATTAAACCATATGTCCTTCTGAGTGCAGGGCCTGGCCACTCTTACAGATCTGCATTCCACAGGCTGGCTCAGCTGGGATCTCTGGAGTCTCAAAGCTCAGGGTATGGACATCTGGAGGCCTCAGACTTCTGAAAGTGAGTAGAATTGGGCCAGTGTGTATGCGCTTGTTGTTCATATTCAGGAGCTTTTAGCAGATACTCAAAGTGGTCTGTTAACAAAAGAACTCATTAATGCTTCTTCAGGGGTCATAAATGTTCCCACAGCGCCCACAGACAGTGTCAAGGGTCAGATGCGTGAAGACTCTCTGAGCGAGCACGCCAGCTGTGGTGACCCTCCAGGAGACTGCTGCTGACTGAGTGGGCGTGCACGAGCACATGGGAAGTAATACACAATCAAGAGAGTCTCAGGGCCAGCCAGATGTACCAAAAAGACGTGCTCAAGAGGGAACTCAGGAGAAAGGAAGGCAAACGGCAAGATGCGCAAGATTACCGTTCTTCACAAATCCCAAAGTGATACCCAGAGCTGAGCTATTCACCCTACTTCAGACCCCGAGGGAAGCTTCCTTATCTTCCTCCCAGGCTGGTTCGCATCTCACTTCCCTTAGGGAAAATACAAGTTATCGCTAAATTCTCCAGGGTCAGCAGGATTGGCAGCTTGTGATGATTCACATCTATTTGACTGATAATTACAAGCCATTGTTGGAAAGCAGAGTGAGGCAGGAATCTGTTGAGGAAACAGGTGCAGAAGATGCCTTCCCAAATAGGCACAAAGCCTGTAAAGACCTGCATTCTTGGAAACACAGCGGATGAACCGATCCAGCACCTAAGTCTTGGCCAGGAAACCTCTTGGACCCCTGTCCCAACCCAAAATGGCCAGTCCTAAAGATGAAGCTGCTGAAATGCCTGTCTAGCAGCTTAGCAGGGGCTGCCTCACATTTTATTAGTTCTCTACCCCGCTTTATAACGTTTAGACCAAGTACTCTGTCAGATCTCCAACTCACATTAATGGTGATGTAGCACCACGGGTAAATTCTTAAATTTCCACTGCACAGTGGCAAACTCCTCTGGACACGACCTCTAACAAGCAGAAAAGGCCCCTTTAGCTCCTGCACAGTGAGGCGCCCTGCAAGAGCGCGCAGTCTAGCAGATCCTTTGATCACCTTGGTGCTCACACTAGGTAACTCATCCATGGAGGAAAAATTGCTCTTAAGCCCAGGGCCGGGAGAGGTGACAAAGTAGGGGGGCTGAGGGTGGGACGCACTGTGTCCCTAGGACAAGGCTGCGCAGAGCTGCTCCTCACTGACTGCAGCTGGCCCGCAGGACACCGGACTCGCGCGGGCACAGGCACCTTCCCGCAAGCCACCAGCTCCCCACCGTGCTCAGGTGGCAGAAGAGGGCGAGAACTCTCAGCCCCAGCAGACCCAGCCCAGCTCTCCAGCGCGCCCCGACGGTCGCGGACCCGGGAGGGGACCTCCCTCCTCCGCCCGCAGCAAGGCTCTGCTCTCCAGGAACAGCCGGGGGCTCAGGAGGCCGCGCCCCGGCCCCAGGCGAGGTCCCCCGCGATCCCCCTGGCTC